ATTCCACTTAAAAGAGAAAAAAAGTCCACACAGCCCGGAAATGATCTTTAAAATAACTCGTTTCATCTCTACGATACAGACAAAGTACAATTCACTTACTCTTAACAAAAAAGCAAATAAAAACGATCCGCAATGCTTACCATTGTTATTATTTTTATTATTATTGTTGCTCTTACAATTAGAAAACAAAGTTAATGCTGCTTCCCTGAACAGGGGGTAGCTTTTGCTCTGGATGAATAAACCACAGCTCTGCTGAGATATTTAATCAAACTCTGACTGATGAAACTGGTCCTGAGGGGAAAACAAAACAAAACAAAGCATGTTGTACATGTTAAAGTCATTAATCTCAGGTGGATTTTAAGTTTCCTGTTCTTTCTCTCTCTCTCCCAAATCTTGTTTTCTGCTCCGTCTCCCATGTGTAGAGGACAAAGTCATGCGTGGGCTGGCTCCGGTCACCTCTTGGGAGCAAAGCGATGGCGTTTCATGACCCTCTGCCCAAGGCGGGGAAGGCAAATCCTTGGTGCTGGGATGAGGGTGTTAAGGACAAACCAGTTAAGGCTGAATTTTCCACTTGCTCCCCATGTACCCAGGTACCTCCAGAGCCTCCTCCCAGCATCTTCCCTGAGCAGGTAGCCCAAAGCTGGGCAGCCCAAGCCCAGCTCGCTTGGAGGATGCTAACGGTTGTCTACGAGGATCTGTTTTCCATCAAGAAAAGGGATGGTCCCTCAGAGACTCTTTTATCACTTTCCTGACAACGGCACTGTTAATTGTATTCAGATTTTTGCCTCCTTTCCCCGCCCCACTTCCCCTCAGCAAGGGCTTTTGTAGCTGCCTATGAAACACTCGTGGGCCGCCTGCCTCAGCATGATTAAGATACTTCCCCTTTTGCAGACTAAACTAAACAATCGGATGGGAGTTTTCTGTAATGAATGTCATTTGCCTACCTTGGGGAGCAACCGAAATGATAGAAAACTGGAAGGGGGGTGGGGGTGGGGAATTAATCAAAAAATATAAAGCCAGCTGGACGCAGACAAGGTCTAAATCCTCAGATTTGGAAATAGCATTAAGTCCAAACTGTTTTATTAAATCATGGGTGTTTTTTTTTTCAAGTGAATAAATGCCACAAAGCCACCGACATAGTGCTTTTCAAGATAGCTTGCCCTTTTCCCTCAGGGGTAATATTGTAACGTTCTGAAATAATAGTATTTATGGGAATCTATCAGCTCGACTTTCCCAGCTAGTGTAAGTCAACAGAGCCGTGTAGCAGGACGTGGAGCTGGGCCACACTGGACCAGCTGTTAGGGTCTGGCAGGGCATGTTACGGGAGAGGGAACTGTAGCATCACCGGACAGAGACATTCACAATAATTAAAGCCGTTTCATTCAGAAGCTGAAAGACCTCAGTGCTTCGGAGCGAAGCCTTGAAACCTGGCTGCCGAGGGGCTGGGGAGCGAAGGAGACTGGTACGTGAAGGTCTCGCCCTGCCATTAGGAATATATTTTCCCTTGCAAAACTGGTTGGTGACAAATGTTCTCCCAGATACCTTTCAGGCCACGCATGCGCAGAAAATCATTCGGCAGCTACTTTTCAGATGGTTGCTGCACCGAGCATTGCCACTGAGAGCAAGGACACTTCTTCTGGTCTCTCTGTGCTTTGCTGCTGGTGCCAGGAGGAAAGCATCCGAGCCAGGCTGCGAGGAGCAAGATGCGCCATGAGCTGTTCCACCAGTACGGTCCCACGTCATGGATTCTCTTTTTATTCCTAGTTCGTATTAAAAGGATTTCCTTTTTTTTTAAAAAAGGATTTCCTTTTTTTTCCGTATTAAAACGGAAAGCACTGCCTCCCTCTCACAGAAAGATGCTTTCTGAAAAGTTAGAAAATGCCGGACCGTCGGGAGGAAGGTGACCCTAGTTTGCTGGATGAAGCGGGGCTGTGGAACAAGGGAGGCTGCAGCGTATCAGACCTTGCCCTGTGCGTGACTCCCGTCTCGGTAAGGCACAGCACCCCGCGCACATTACTGATGCCGGGTGCAGCCACCTCAGCGAAAAAAAGGGCCTGAAACTTAGGAGTTATGGCAAAAGTGGCGTAACAGTGTTAATTCATAGACCAGGACATGGGCTGGGGCCATGCAGACACTTTGCTCAAAGAAGCAAAAATCAGACGAAGGCCATGATGGGTTATCTAGAGGAAGCAGCAGAGGTTTTGAGCCTGGACACTCCAAACTGCAAACCTCCATTTCAGTTCAACGTCTTCAGTAACAGGCAGCTGTGGGCAGAGGCAGACACGAAGTGTGGGGTACCACCATGGCTAAAGGTCTGCTGAGGGTTCATTTCCCACCGGACAGGACTGCAGATGCCTGGTAGGCTTACTCACACCTTTTTGTGCTCTGCAAAATTACGGTTTCTTCTGACATGCGAAAAGCAGCTGAGGAACACGGGTCTGACACTGGAGGAGTGAAACGCAGCTGAAGACAATGTGTATATAGAGCATTTCTTCCATCTTGCTATTTTTTCGCCAAGCAGAAAGACTCAGGACATCAGCAAGGGAGCAAGAAAAAGAGTCATTACAGAATAGCATTGAAATGCTTAAGTTTTTCTTTGGTCAGAACATCCCTGCCTTGTTGGCTTCATCAGAAACTGGAAATAAAAATAAAACTCCTTAAAAGAATGAAAGTAGACCGTTTCTTTACATATCAAACGAAGCCAAATTCTGTCTTTGGAGAGCAGTGGGATTTGTGCCACCAGCCTGTCTGCATGTCAGCCTAAAGACACCCACCGCTCATCACACCGCACTGCGGAGACGTTTTAGTCCACCAGCTTTTATGGGGTGACAATAACACAAACCACTGACAAACTACCAAAGGCCTCTTTTTGCCTGCTTGTGGCTGGGGGAGGGAAGGAGGCGAGGAGACCAAACCCGTTGCAGCAAAGCAAAGCAGGCGAGGACTAGAAAGGATCTCTCATTCTGCTCTGCAGCCCGCAGTGCTTTTCCCCTCCAGCTCCCCAGAGATGCTCCTAGAGAGCGGCTGGGTGGGGGGAAAGAAGGATTTGGAGGAAGACTGCGGTGTTACGGACGAATTTCCCCCTGGGAAAGTAGCACTGTCCTCCCCCATTTGTGTAGGAGTGATTTTTCTGGCTGCTTACGGCGTTTTGCTCGGGGAACAGGGTGCCCAAAAACGACCTGAAGGACCTCACAGGCTCTGCTGCCTTCTGCTCCCGGAGCAGACATCCTTCTCCAACACCACCTTTCCTGACAGGGACACAGAGCTGGATGCCCGTTGCAAAAAAAAAAGAGCAAGAAAGGGAACCTAACCTCAGCGAAAACTTCCAACGTACAGCAACTTCTGCAACACGCGGGAGCGAGGAGCGAATCCCCCGTGAGGGGTATTGGTCACATTTGTTACTAAGCTCCGGGGAGCATTGGGATAGTTTATCAATGAGAGTGATCGCTGATACAAAAAGCGAAACAGGAATGGTGACTCTTCCTTTCCCCGAGTGGTCTGTTTCCTTGCCTTGACTGTATCTTGGCTAATTCTGCTCAAAAATGAAGAGGCTGGGGAGACGGGGAATAAAGGAACTTGTCCATCCCACGCCAGCGAGTGCCTCGAGCCACGCTCTTCTCCTGTCCTTGGGACGGAAAGCAGGGTTGCTTTCCAAGTAGGAGAGTGAAACATAACAATTTAACATTTTGCCGTTGCACCAGTAACTTCAGCATTTATTTCATACTACTGTTAATGCTTGTTTATAATATATAGATATATTGACCTAGGAAGTAGAGTAGACGAAAGCGCGAGATATATCTTATAAATATTTCTGTACGTCCGCATACGAAAGAAAATATGTACAGCCACAGTTAGTGGTTCTCTGCTGTGTCAGGGCAGGGCCACGTGAGGGACCGACGCGTTCCCGCTCCCTCCGGCCGGGAAGAGCG